TTAGATGCTGGGGGCAGGGCCCCAGCAGCTGCCCTCCCCATGCAGTGGGAACCCCACTCTGAGGCCTCTCCAGAGCTTCCCCTGCCTTGTGCAGCCCCACTCTTGTTAGATTACTGGGCTGGCTCCAAGCATGGGAGGGAAGTACCACGGTCACTGGGTCACTCCACTGGGCCAAGCTCCTCCTCCTTTAGGAGGACGTCCTTGGATATCTCTGAGGTCCCCTCCCCTCCCAATAGCCCTGGTCCCGGCCCCTATCAACACTTGTTGGCTCCATGTCCCGTTTATTTAAGGGCTGTTGGAGTGGCTGACAGTCCGGTACATTTCCTGTGTATCGTGGCCCCTCTGGGACTTCAGAGATACAATGCTTCAATTCTGACGTGTGGCTGCTGCAATTGCAGGCTGTCAGGGGTGGGACTTTGGATTATGCTGGCCTCTAGTTTCTGAATTCCCACCAGGGGAGTGGAGACTCCCTGTAAAGAGAACAAAGATCTGGTATAAGACACATGGGGGCTTGGACAGATTTTACACTTAGCTGTGTCATCTTGGGCAAGCTGCTTGACCATCTGAAAAATGAGTGTCACAAGGGTACCACCTTTCTCCTCATATAGATGAGGCCCTTAGCTTGGGGTCATGCAGAGTGAGGGCCAAGAAACGGGATGTTACTGCTGCTGCAGGACACGGGGTCTGCCTTCTTCCTGATGTGTGCAGAGCAAGGCAGAGGCCAGCTGGTCCCCTGTCTTGGCCACGAGGTGATAGCTCCTCCCCAGGGCCCAGCGTCTATCAGGCCATGGATCTCTATGCAGGACTGGGGTTCTGGGGGCAGAGGGGACCATCTCCACCTGCTCCTTCCAGCTGGCTCTTTCTGCCTTCCAAGACAGGGCCCCTGATGAGGCCCGTGAGGGAATCCCTGCCCATTGCGTTGCGCGGATGCCTTGCTACTCAGCGACTTCAATTTCAGAGGCTTCTGGAGGATTCCAGTTTCCTGCTGTCTTGCATGTAAAGTGACCCTAATGAGGGAAAGAAATCCAGACATATATGAGCAGCTGTAAGGCTGTACATTCTGCAAATTGCAGGTGTCAGGCCTGGGGAGGCCCTTGGGGTCATGAGGCCCACTTTCCTCTTTTAGACAATGGAGAATTTGAAGTTTAGAGAGGGACTGTGAACTGTCAGGTGTCACACAGCTAGTAAGACACTGATCTGGGACTCAAATGTAGGTTTTCTAACTGTTCATCCAATGCCGTCTCCACTGTGCTCCATCAGCCAGACACCGAGCCTGGAATCCAGTTCTCTCTGACCACAGAGCACCGTTATACCGTGCTGCAATCAGATTACCTCTTCCCCTCCAAGAGCTGACCCCAGTCTTCTAGAATGAGGCCACCATACTTGCAGAGTCTCCCAGGCTTGACTTAAGGTGGGCTTAAATGCCTCTGGGGTGGCACCTCACTCCTTCCGTTAAGAAACCACTGCGTAACCTCAGAGTTTTCACTGGTAGGAAATGGTTCCTGCCACTAAGCCCCAAATTCCCGTCTGATTCCATTTCACATAATTACACCCTCTCATGTCATCCTCAGTACGTCTCCTCCCCTGTAGGGCTTCACACCCTTAGAGTCTTGCGTGCAATTATCCTGTTCTGCCTAATGTGGCAAAGCCCAGAGGTGGGTCTTTTCATCTGTTGTAATTATTCCATTTCCCCTGTTCCTGCATTGTTTCAGATAGTTCATCTCTGAACATCCTTCAATTCCAGGGTATCTTTCTGGACTGGTGGTCACCAAGAACCCAATGTGGCAGTCAGGAGAGATTCCCTTAGGAGTAGATAGAGAAAGGGAGGGTCCTTACGGGGTAGAGTTGTGTCCAGGCTGCTAATAACAGGGGCATCTGGAAGGCCCTCTCTCCTCCCATTCTGGGTGCCCAGAGCTGCCCACATGCCAGTCGGAAGACAGAAGGGGCTTAGCAAACACCCTCCTGGGCACAAAGGGGTGGATGGAACCCTTTCTGGGCGGGGATGTGGGTTTGAATCTGCCTCCATCTCCCCCCTCTCAACCCCCTATCACAACCCTGGTCCATCTTTTTATTCCCTCAACAAACATTTACCAAGCGCCTGCTACTCTTCAGACCCAGCACTAGGAAGTGTAATACTATGGTAAACGAGGCGTATCGTTCCTACCCCTTAGGAGCTTACGTTCTAGTGCATGGGCGAGTCAACACACATGTGAAGCAATAGATGAAGATGAACATGTGAAATGTAAGGAGACCAAGGGCAAGTGTCCAGGGAGGAAGAGTGACGGGAGCCACCTGCAGTGGGCAGTCCAGGAAGGCCTCTGAGCAAGTGGCATTGAAGCTGTCGCCCTTCAGACTTCTCATTTAATTAAATGTCTTTATCGCTCAAACCATGTTCCCAGGATAATCCTTTTGCAGCCCAAACATCCTGAGTGATAGGGGTGACTTTGTGTGGATTTCTTTCTCTTGCGTTTTTCAGTATTCTCTTCTCCAGCTCTTTTTGTACTCCTCAAAATCCCATTCTCAAAAGAGTCAGTAATGTAATTCCTGCCAATCCAGTTCCTCTTGAACTTTCTATAATACCTAACACTGTTCATCCTGGCTCTGAGAGGTCTCTGTCTCATTGGGCTTCTGTGATGTTCCAGGGCGCTGCGTCTTAATCTGACACCCTTTTCTTCTTGTACTGATTCCTTCCCCCGTGATCTGTCTTTGCTAAACGCCCGTTCAGACTAGGAGTTGAACGTGCTTATTTTCAGAGGTCATTTAATTTACTGCTTACAAAAGTCCCGTGACAGCTTTTTTATCCCCACTTTGCAGATTTGGAAACTAGGCTCTGTGAGGTTAATGAACTTGCCTGAGGCCATCCAGTCAGTAAGTGAACCAACTGGGATTTAAATTGAGGGATCTTTGACTTCAGTTGCATCATTTTGCCTGAGATAGTCAGTCTCTTTCTCATGGCTCTCCTTATCCCTCTTCCAAGGTCAAGTGACCCATTCTTATGGCATCAACTATGACTTTTATAGAGAGGCCTCCCAACTCTTAACCCATAGTCTTGCACTATCCCCTTGGTCTAAAGGGACTTCTACCTTTGCATCGGGCAGAAGCTTCTATCCTTTACATCGGGCATGTATAGAGTTACCTAATCTGCCTTCGTGATTTCTGACCATGGCATCTCCCAGCCATGGCAATGGATGGACAGTCCCACATCCTCTTTGTCTACCCACCTCCACCTTTCATCTCATGTACTCACTCAGAAGCAGCGGCCTGTGATGACTCCATTTCAAATGTTTCTTGAATCTGTTCCTTTGCTCTCATTCCTAGAAAATGACCCATCTTCCCTCCTCAGTCTAGCACAAAGCTTCCTTCCTGCTTTAGCCCCTCACCTCCCTGAGATGCTCCCAGATGACCCATTCCAGGACATTGCTTTCCTTATGCTCCTCACTCTTTTGGCTCCCTTGGAGGTCCCCATTGCCTCACTTTATTTTAATTTTTTATTTTTTCCCATGGCCTCTCTTTAATGGCTCCGTGTTATCTGGCCCCAGGCTTGTTTCTCTAGAGTAGTTCAAACCAGCCCACACGGTCCGCTGTTTCACATACACTGGGTTCCAATCACTGGCACCCGCTTCCTTTCTCCCCTTCCTTCATTCCAGCTGCGCATCTGTCCAGCCCTGTCTGTCCTTATCATCTAAGTATGAAACACTTCATCTTTCAGAATGCCACCTCTGGACTGTTGGGCCAGGAACAGACTCTAGTCACCAAATCCCTGGAATCTCTCCTACCTTAGCTAATATAACACTCATTGTCTCTGTAGATCACTGGGGCACCTGTCATTTGCTTACTGTGTCATGATGTCTAAGCTGGTTTTCCCAAACAAGATTGTAAAGTCCTTTATGATTGGAACTATGCCTCTTCCTGCCTGAGGCTCAGGGTTGGAGAACTGAATGGAGACACCCTCTATCCTATAAGTCTAACCCAACTTCCTGTACAATTATTGATTGAACATCTGTTATGTCCCGGGTACTATGCTGAGCACTGGGAATGCAACTGAGGAGACAGAATTCCTGCCCTCAAGGGGCTTATGGCCTAATAGGGAATACAAATACATTTTAAGAAGTATGATTATTTTATAGGGAAAGCATGACAGGGGCGCCTAACCATGGCTAAAGTGCCGGGGAAGGCTTACCCAAGGAAGTATGTTTTATTCTAATTTAATTTAATTTAATTTAATTTAATTTTTTATAGTTCTCAATTTTTTATTATTAGATACAACAAAAATAACATTTTATAAAATGTCTATTTATTTATTTGTGTGAGAGAGAGGTAAGTAAGCAGGGGAGAGACAGGAAGAGACAGAATCCCAAGCAGGCCTTGTTCTGTCAGTGCAGAGCCCGATGCGGGGCTCAGACCCATGAACCATGAGTTCATGACCTGAGCTGAAACCAAGAGTCAGGTGCTTAACCAACTGAGCCACCAGGCATTCCAAAAATAACATGTTAATAAATGTAATCAGAACAAAATGTATGGAAAAAGAAAATACAAACTGTACTACCCAAGGTAGTGAATTTTAAATTTGAGAACCCAAAGGATTTATTCAGGTGACGAGGAGGGAAAGAATGTTCCAGGCAGAGCATAGATGAATGCTTTGAAGTGACACAGAATGTAGCATAGTTAAGGGACTGAAAACTTCAAGTCCAATATGCCTGGGGCTGGCATGGAGAGTGTGAGGAGGGAGAGAAGTGGTAAGACGGGGCTGGGTGAATGGGCAGGGGCCAGATGTGCTAGGCCCAGGAAAAATAAGAGCCTGGAAAAAAAATTATGACCTTGATGAAGAGATGGTGATATGTTTTCAGCTAAGAAAGCTATGGATACAGGGACATGTCAAGGGGGCCCAGAAGGAGTAGCAGATGACACAGAGGCAGGGAATGGTGAACAAGCCGGCAGAACTCTGAAGACTATGGAAACATTCCAATCACTGGAACCCGCTCTGTGACCTAGCCAGTGGTCAGGAATTCTAAAAGCTCTGTAGGAGGTTACCAGGCAAAGCACGGTAAGATATTAGCCACGGAGAGGTGTCTGTAAAGCTTTGTGTTGGGAGTGGGATGGTTCAGGAAAGTTTTCTTGGGACTGAAAGGCTATGAGATGTATCTGGAAGGTGGGACTCACAGCATGCAGTGCTTGGGCTCAGGACTGCATTCTCTTCTTCCCGGCAGTGCCCAGGGCCCAGCTCTTGTCTAATGGCCTGTGGCTCTGGGGCCCATGTTGGCTGTCACCCTTGGAGAAAGCATCTCAGCTCCTCCTTTCACAGCAGGAGCTGTCCGTGGGATGGTGGGCTTGGCAAAGGCCACTTGTCAACACTCATTTCCCACCGGGCCTCTACCAACCCAAGCAAATAGCTACTTTCTTTCCAAGGCAATTGGACCGACTTTTCCAAGCATGCAAAACAAAAAGAAGGTCTGAACTGAGGTCTTTATCTGTTATAGCACCCCCACACTGTCCAGAAGCATTCTGTATTATCTATAAAATAAAATCTTCATTTATATCCATTCCTTCCTATAGAATGAATCAGTTGTAAAATGACTGGTTGTAACACTATCTCCAAGAAGCCTGACTTCTTTCTCTTCCTCTTCCAGAGAATTTTGCTTTAATTAATTCAACAAATATTTGTTGAGTCAGGTGTTATTCTAGATATTTGGGATACATCAGTGGACATAGCAAAGAGCATAATAAAGCCTACAATTTAGCAGGCAAGACAAACAGAAGGCACAATAAGTAAGTTATATTGTTTGCTAGAAAAAGTGGTGAATGCTATCGAAAAAAAGGGGGGGGGTGGAACAAACAAGTTTTCTACTCCCATGAGTACCTTAGTGGGAAGGTGGATGGGGACAAGTGGGAAGGAAGAGGTCGGTCCGGGCTTCTGGGCTTTTTTGGTTGTTTTTGTTTTGTTTTATTTTGCTCTAAGTCCTTGTCCCTGGTTGGAATTTTAAACTAATTGCCTGTAGTACTTTGATAAAAATAAAAATCAAGTTCAAATAGTGCTGTGACTATATTGGGAGGTGAGGGTGGCAGGCTGAGCTAAGTTCTCTTCTGTCAGTGCAGAGAACAGGATGAGGTTTCTAAAGTTAATAAATCAAGATACAGAAGCACAGGCATATCCTTGAGGATTGTAAAGGAAACTATCCAAAGAATTTAAAGCAGAAACAGCTGAAAGAGCAAAAAGTCATTTCTTCTAGGGGAAAAACAATGGAAGGTAGGAAGGTGTAAGAGTAGGCAGGGAACTCTTACTCTTTACTACAAACCTTTTGGTATGTTTGGATTTTTTTTTTTTTTTTTATTTCTAGGAGAGAGAGACAGCGTGAGCAGGGGAGGGTCAGAGAGAGAGGGAGTCACAGACTGAAACAGGCTCCAGGCTCTGAGCTGGCAGTCAGCACAGAGCCCGACGCGGGGCTCGAACCCATGAACGCGAGATCATGACCTAAGCGAAAGTCGGACGCTTAACCGACTAAGCCACCCAGGCGCCCCAATATGTTTGGATTTTTAACACCATAGGCATGGTCACTTTGATGGTTAAAAACCCCTATTCTACTGAGCCCTGGTGGGGGCGGGGCGCGTTTCCACAGAGGTATCTTGGGGGTTTCTGTAGAGAGTGAGGTGTTGGTAGACTTAGGTAAGCTCCGCCTTCCTTTCTTTTATTTGTTTTATATCTTCAACTTTCATGCAAGATGTTTGAACAGAGGGTTCTGCGGTTGAAATTGGTTTGAACTCCATGATCTCTTTCAGTTCTCACAATTAATGATGCTTTATAAGCACCTATTACCCTTTATGCTCATGCCTGTTTACTTCCTAGAGAATTTTCACCACTTAGTCAGGAGCCTTGCATCTTCCCCCAGCTGTTGCCAGTGTGCTTGGTGTGGAAGTAACACCCTGCAGTCAATCATCCTATGATTACTTCTTTCAGGGGGCCCCTGGAGCCCCTGTTGGAAAGGGGTCCTTTGAGTATTCTGCCTGGCCTCTGGCACAGTGGCTATTGTAATGGCAGGTGAGCATTTTGGCAAATAGTTCCAGTGCTCTGCAGTGCTCCTGGGGTAGCTGAGAATTCTTATAGAATCTTGCCTCCCACTCCAATTCCTCCAGTAGGGAGAGAGGGAGGGAGGGAGCGAGGGAGAAAGACAGGGGAAAGAGAGGGGGGAGGGAGAAGGAGAGGGAAAGAGGTGGAGAGAGACTATGAATGAAATCAAGAAAGGGAGGCAACTCCCCATTAGCTTAGTCACCTCCTAGTGACTGCACTTCTAGACATGTGTCACTGTTTGCCTGCTCTGGTACTATTTTTAGGGTGGGTCCCCTCCATTCATGTTTCTGGGGCCTTTGCAGTCATCTCTCTTGCTGCATTCCTGGCAGCTGCTTTCCTGAGTTTTGAAGTTCTAGAAGTTCTGTGTTTCCAGGCACCTTTCATGCCTTTCTGGTTTTGTACACCATGTTCTTTTATCTGCTGTCTGGGGATATGACACTAATCCTTGAAGTCCAAGCTCTTGTAGTTTGTAAAACCTTTCCTGGACCTAACTCTGAGGAAACCCTCTACACCTTAGTACTTATCACAGAGCCTAGTCACCACTTGGTTATATTTTGGTGTCCTTGAGGGCTGTACACATCCCATGGTCTTCTCTTGGCCCGACATAGAGTGGGTATTCAGTAACTGCTCACTGAATTAAATGTAGCACAATTGCTGACCTTTTCTGTGCTTTTCTTGGCCTAGAACAAAGGTGCTGTGGGAAGATCTCCAGCAAGCCATCTCCATAAATCTTTTCCTGTTTTCATCTTGAAACACTAGATTTGGAAAAGTCAGGTAGCATCTGGAGAAGGCCTCCTATTCTCGGAGGGATCCTATTGGGGAGCGAGAATTATTGCCACTGTTTTACAGAGCAGAAAACTGAGCTTCGGAAATACTGAGACTTGCTAGTAGTCACATAGTAAATAGAGCTAGAGGTTGAAATCCATGTCATCTGACTCCAGAGATACTGTTTCCTACCACACGCTTCCTCATAGTCCCCACAGTGTGCTCTGATATCACACCATTTGAGACTGTCCAGACCACAGTTTCCCCCTCAAGCATTCATGCATTCATTTTCCTTCCAGACCCAAGTGTTGAGAACCTTTCTCCCCGGTTTTTTCATTTCCCTGAGATTTGCTAATCTTTTCCTGTTTCCTGTGCAGTCTGCAGGAGTTCATTTCCCTCTCATCCCTTTCCAGATATCATGATTTCCAAATCTTTTAGTTGGTTTCTTTTTCTGGCTGTGGTCCTTTTTTTTTTTTTTTTTTTTGGAGACTTTCCAATATAGCCACATATTGGAGGATGATAACAATGAATTAGTCAGTAGGTCTTCTTTGATGTTATTTTGTGGGCAAGCTCATTAATTTATGCCAAAACATCAAAGAGCTCAGCTCCTGCATAGGACTGGTTTATCCCAAGGCAGCTGGGTACTAATGATTAGTCAGATTAAATCTAAATGTCTTCTTCTGCTTCAAGAGTTAAAATCCAAATGACTGGAGTGTGGGAACATCCCATCTCGTAGCAAGCAGCCCATTGGCTCTGAGTCAGCCTGGTATGAAACTCCCCATTCCAACTGTGGATCTCCCTTCCTGGCTTCCACTTTGATACCTCTAAGTCTTGAGGTCTGTCAAGATTTGTGTAGCAACTGTGGAGGCAGTGTAGTAATAAAAGGCTGAAGCTGTTAAAATCTCTTTCTAGTTGGGGGAGCTGGATATTAAAAGGGATCACTCATCCTTGCGTGGACTAGCTCAAGGTTCTCGATAGTGTCCTAGGCCTGTAATTTCAGTGGGAAGGAGAACTCTCTTTGGGCCACACAAGAAAAGTGCCAGCACCATGTTCAACACATAGCAAGCTTTCCATATGTGATGGTTGAATGGACTTGTTGAGAAAGGTCATGGTGTAGGAAGCCTCTGGCTAGTTGAAAGGGAGTAGGAAATAGAGCTCAGGTCTTTGCTTTGCTTATACAACAACACCTCCTAACCTACTCACATCTGTGGCCATTTACTTTGCTTCTTCCATTTTATTTGCGGTGGAAAATTGTCTGTGCCCCTCTCTAAAGCCATCCCCTCCGCACGTGCCCTGGGTCCTATTCTTTGCTGACCTCTTAAGGGCTTGCTTCTGTAAGTAACCCTCTTCTTTCTGAGCCATCAGTGGTTCCCTCTCTACTAAATTATTTCTACTGGCAAACAAGCAAGCTCCAGTGTACTCCCATCTTAAAAGAACCTCCCTTGCTCCCACTTCTTCTTTACGCCACTGTTTTGCGCTTCACTCCCTTTTATAGCAAAATGCCTCTCAAGGCTTGTCTACATTCTCAGTAGCTCTCCTTCTTCTCCATTCAAACTCTCAAACCCACTTCACTCAGGATCTCATCCCTGTTCTCCACTGAAACAGCTTTTGTCAAGCTCATCAGTGACCTTCTAGCTGTCAAATCCAAGGGTCATTTCTTAGTCCTCATCTTATTCTACATTTGAGCAGCTCTCAGCACAGCTGGCAAGGCTCTGTTACCAGGTTTCTTGCTTGGCTCCAGGACACCACTCTCTCTTGGGTCTCCTCCTACTTCACTGGTTACTTTTCTCAGTCAACTTCCATCTTCTCAGTCGGTAAGTAATAAAGCGCCCGGGAACAGTTCTTGGACAATTTTTCTAGCTATATCCACTCCTTAGATGATCTCCTCTGGTCCCATGGTTTCTAATACTGTTCGCATACTGGTGGCTCTCCAACCCTCTACCTCTCTCTTGAACCTCAAATGCCCACTCCATTGAGATGTATAATATGCACATCAAATTTCAAACCTAAATCAACTAAACCAAACTGTTCTCCATCCTTTCAGTCCTACTCTTTCCTTAGGCTTTCCTTCTCAGTAAATGGCAACTGCTTTCCTCCAGTGAAGGAAACTTGGAATCATCTTTTTTTAAAAAAATTTTTAATGTTTTATTTATTTCTGAGAAAGAAAGAGAGAGAGAGAGAGTGAGAGCGAGAGAGAGAGAGAGAGAGAGCGAGAGCGAGAGCAGGGGAGGGTCAGAGAGAGAGGGAGATACAGAATCTGAAACAGGCTCCAGGCTCTGCCAGATGCAGGGCTCGAACCCATGAACCATGAGATCATGACCTGAGCTGAAGTTGGATGCTTAACTGACTGAGCCATCCAGGCACCCCGAAACTTGGAATCATCTTTGACTCACTTTCATACCACACCCCCGGTTTATCAACAGATCCTGCCAGCACTAACTTCGAATTATATCTAGGGTCTGGCCACTTCTTACCACCTCCACTGCTACTACCCTAATCTAAGCCACCACCATATCTAGCCTAGACTACTCTTTTTTTTTAATGTTGTTTTTTTTTTTTTAATTTATTTCTAGGAGAGAGAGAGAGACAGCATGAGCAGGGGAGGGTCAGAGAGAGAGGGAGTGACAGACTCTGAAACAGGCTCCAGGCTCTGAGCTGGCAGTCAGCACAGAGCCCGACGCGGGGCTCGAACCCACGAACTGCGAGATCATGACCTAAGCGAAAGTCGGATGCTTAACCGACTAAGCCACCCAGGTGCCTCTAGCCTAGACTACTCTTACAGCCTCCTAACTGGTATCACTGCTTCTATCCTTGCCTTCTTCCCCCTTTGCTCCCCATCCCATTCCAGCCCTAGCATCCAGAGTCATCTTTAAAAAACTGCAATTAGATAATGCCATGCCTCTACCTTAAACTTTTTAAGGCTTTTGATCCCACTTTCCGAATAGAATCCCAAGTCCTTATCAAGGTCTATGAGTCCTTTAAGACCTGGCTCCTGCTACTTCTCTGATCTCAGATCCCATCTCTCTTCCCCTTGCCCACTCCAGTCTAGCTACACTGGTTTCCTTGCTCTTCTTTGAACATGCTATGCCTACTCCTGACACTTGCCCTTGTACTGTCCTCTAAGCTAGTCACTTTTCTTTAGGTATCTGCACATTAAGTTCTTTCAGTTCCCTCAGGCCTCTGCCCAAATTTCACCGTCTCAAAAAAAGTTCCCTCACTATCCTTTAAAGTAACTCTCCTCTGTCACCTCTCTTTACTGCGCTTTACTTTTCTTCCTAGCAATGATCACAACTCAACATATTTTATACTGATTTGTTTACCTGCCACTGATTGTTATCCTCATTAATATGTAAATTCAATAAGAACAGAGTCACTGTGCATGTAGTCATTGCTGTAGCCCAAGCTCTGAAAATAGTGTCTGATACATAGTAAATGTTCAACGAATATACACTGAATGAATAGATTTGTTAAATGGACTCATCTAGGTCTCTTGTCATCAGGCAAAGAGGTGGTTTCCAGATGGTTGTTTATCGAATATGATCAAAATCAAGTGTGAGGAACTGGGAGAGGTGTCCATGGAGATCATCAAATTATGTAAGTATTTAGTACTAGTGACCACCATGGGATTCATAGATATTGTCAGTTTGTTCCTTGATGCCAAATCATTGGCCAAAACTCTAAGGTGGGATGAAACATCTGCCTTTAACTTCTTTGGCATGTCATTTATCCTCTGGGAGTCAGTTTGTTCATCTGTGAAATAGGCAGTTAGAGGTATGGTTGCTGATCTGCTAGTTTAAGGTTTACAAGATGCTGAAGGGAGGGAGTACAGTCAGGATTATCAACCACATAAACACTGGAAGTTGACTGCTTATATTTTGAATCCTGCCTCCATTTCTCACAAGCCACATGACCTTGGGCAATTTTCTCAGTTTTCTTGTTTGTAAAACAGGAATAATAAAAGGGTAATAATAGCATTTAATTCAAAGAGTAATAGTGAGAATTACATAAGGCAGTACTTGTAAAGTATGTAGCATATGGTGTGGCACATAGTAAACACTCAATAAATGTTAGTTATTAAAAATGAAATGTTCTGAAGGGAAGTTGAGAGGCCATTGCTAGTGATGTGTTTTAGCTGCAGCAAACTATCCTAGAATATTAGATGATATGAAATCTTTAAAAGTGTGATGATAATATTGTGGTTAGGTATGGTTAGGTAGAATGCCCTTATTCTTAGGAGAGGCACAGTGAAGAACTGAAGGGGAAAGCTTCGTAATATCTGTCACTTTCTAATAGTCTAGCCAAATATCTATATTTCCATAGCTATCAAGAAAATATGGAAAATGTTAACAAATGTTGAAGCTAGGTGGAGAGTATGTTTATTGTACTATTCTTTCAACCTTTCTCTGTGTTTGAAAATTTCGAAATAAAAGGTTGAAGGAAAGAAAAGAAAGGACCCTAGAAATGGTCTCGGGAAGTCCAGCCCTCATTTTACAGAAAGAAACTCAGAGGTGCAGCTTTTGACCAGGTTCATAGAGCTGGAGGAGCCTGAGCCAGAATCCAGGTCTCTTGGCTGCTGTTGCCCCTCAGGCAGCAGTGAGCTGCAGAGGAGCAGACTCTGCTTCCCCAAAAGACAGAGGGGTGTTATGCATTTGTAAAAAGGCACTTGTGTTCGTGTTTCCTTTTTGTTTATTAAGCAAATAGGTAGGTCATTTCGCTGGAAGCTTTGATGTCAAAATTGTGAAGGCAGCACCAGGGCCGGTCCTGACATCCTGGGTAAACCAGTTTGGCACTACCTGCTTGTGTTTGTTGAGTGGTGGTGGTGTATATGTAAACGCTGGGATTTCAGGGGAGAGAGCGAAGGCCAGGGTCAGGAAGAGCAGTGGAGAGACTGGCTTCAGTCCTGGAGCTCCCGGAAAGAAGGGATCCCAGAATTTCTTTGGGGATGAAATGCAGGCACGTATTTAAAGAAAGGAAATGATTCTCTGCGGTCAGCACCATTCTCCTCTATCTAATAGTGTTCAAAGCAGTGAAAAGAAGAGACGAGGAGAGGAGGGAATGTCCATGCAAGTCTGGGAAGGGGGGCACAGAGAAGAAACGGGGAAGAAAACAGAAAAAATACGGTAGAGGAGGCCCGGGGCCACGGTGGAGGAGGGGTTGGGGGATGGGTGTTGAAAAGGTAAAGAGGCTGCACCTGGGGGCCTGCGAACGCGTGGAGGACTGTCAGCCTCCGCAAGCTGGAGTGTCTTGCCCCAGAACCGTCCTGCCTGTCTCTTCTCCGGGTCTGGAAGTCTCAGGAGGCGGTGGTAGCGAGCGCAGAGCTCCTGGCGCTCTTACTAGGGGGAAGGGCTGGCAGGAGAGGCGGGGCCTCCGGGCCGGGCGGGAGCGAAGCCTCCGGCCGCGGGCGGGGCTCCTCTCCGGCGGGCGGGCGCCGGAGTCTGGGGGCCGCGCTTCCCCCTCCCGGTCCGCGGAGGCGCCTGGCCCCTCCTCCCCCTGCCGCCCCCACCCCCGCCGCCGCTGTCAAAGATAAACCGGGCCGTTGCTTGCAGGAGCAGCGGCAGCCGGCGGTCGGGCGGTGAAGAGCCTCGGGCGCGGCCTCGCCTCCCCGGCCCGGCGCCCGCATCAGCACCGCGGATAGCACAGCGGCGGTCGCCTGTACCTAGGCGCCCTCCGGCCCGCCAACTAGCCGGGCCCGCGGCGTCCGCATCAGCACCGCGGACAGTGCCCCGGGCCCCATCTCGCCGCGGCCAGCCCACCTGCTCCCCGAGTCAGCACCGCGGACAGCCCCCTTTCACCAGCCTCACAGCAGGCTCGGAGCGGTCAGCGCCCCTGGAACATGGCCACTGAGGTAGGGGACGACTGCCCAGCCCGCAGGCAGTGGCTGACTGGTGCGGGAACACATCCCCGCTAGGGGCGGACTGGGCGGGAAAGGAAGAAGGGGGGGTGAGGTGGGGTGGGGTGGGGTAGGGTAGGATGGGGTGGTTTCCCTGAATCGAGCCCTGTGGGGAGGAGGGGGGGCATAGTGGCAGGGTGGAAGAGGGGCTTCTCCTGGGAACTCATCTCACCCCTGGCGATCTTACCCATCTGAGTCCCCGAGGCTGCCCAGGCCACTTGTTGGCACTAGCACCAGGTTTGCTCCTGGGCCCCAGCTAGGGTTTCCCCTTACCCTGGAACTGCTAGTCCTAAAACTACTTCCCGAGAGGTTTGGAGGTGAGCTTGCCCCTATTTTAGGGGAAGGAAGGCTGGTGGTTGCTGTTGCTATGCAGTGAAGCCATCGAGCTTTTAAACCCAAAAGCCTGGTTAAGAGATGACAGACCTACCTCCACATTCACATATCCTTCGAGGGGGAGTGAAGGGACAAAGAATCCTCAGGCCAAAACCTCAAAGAGTTGGTTTTAATGAGCTACCTGCACCAGTCTCCACTTTTGCATATTATGCTTTCTTGCTTTTATATATATATATCATTCAAGTTTCTTGTACCAGGGTGTCTACATTTCCTGTGTCTGATGGGAGGAGCTGTCTTCTTCTTCAGGGTGTGCTTAAAGGTGTGTCACCTTAAAGGAACTTGAAAGCTGAACTGAGGGACCCGTTGGCCGAGGGCAGAATCTTGGTGCAGTGGTTAAGAGGTCAGGAATTTCCTCTTGTGGGAAATGGAACTCTTTATGTTCCCACTTTATAACTGGTAAAGTTAACACATGGAGAAAGGGAGGACCTATGTGATACACAGCGTGTTAGCAGCAGAGCTGAAAAGTTTCTTCCTTTGGATTTTTGGAGTGGAACCTAGGACACCAGGGTCTCCCCAGTTCTGATGTTGACTTATTTTGTAGTCAACACAAAATTTCTCATCCAGCTGGAACACCAGCCAGGGGCAACAGACAGGCTTTTGAATGACCCTCTGCATTGCATCTGGGCATCCTGCTGAGTAGGGTGACATCAATACCAAGTGTTACCATTGCAATTCTGCTGTTGTGGCCACCACAGAACAAGGTGCAGTTGCCTGGTACTGCTTGGCTTTGTGACATGGCACAAGGCTAGTTAGGAGAGCTCACCTTTCAGGGATCTTGTGAGGGGGCAAGCCCTAAGCTGACCCATGGAACTTGGTTTTACAGGTGGAGGAATGCAAAATAAATAAGCAACCAGAAAGCTCAGAAAGTGCCAAAGTTACTGAGAACAAAAGAGAAATGGCCAAGGATCTGGTCACCTTCCAGATAAGGCTGCCAGGCTGCAGCAAAGCCTGCCGGTGTTGGGCAGCAAAGGACAACTTGGCATAACTGGGCCAGGGGAGTGGGCAGAGAAGGCACCACACCTGTGATATGATTGGACAGATTCCAGGAGGCCCATCTGTCCCATCACATCTCCACTTCAGGTTTGTTATGGTCCAGAAATTCCAACCAGCAGACTCACATCTCTAGGTTGAGGCAATGTTTCTAGGAGGCTGCTGTTAGGTATGTGTGACTCTCCCCTGGGAGAGGCTCTGCTTATAATGCCTCTGTGAATATAGCACTTTCCTGTGTACAAAGCACTATCACATGTATGATCTCCTTTGAGCTTTAGAGCAACCCTGTGAAGTGGGCAAGGATGGTGTTATTATCCGCAATTAACAGATGAGCCAACCAAGGCTCAGGAGCTTGCCTGATCTCTGTGAAGTAGCTTCATTATCCCATTTTACAGATAATGCAACTGGAATGCAAGACTTATTCAAGAAACTATGGTTCAAAAGAGGCAGGGCAAGGACTGAAGATTGAGTTTTCTGCCTCCCTCATCAGTCCCCCCCCCCCCCTGCTGCAGCCAGGTGTATCCAATTAGCCAACGGTGTTGCTCAACAGAGAGGTGGGCACTAGGGGCGGTGACATGAGGCTGTGATGGAGGAAGGGATGCAGAAGAGTTCAGGAAGGACTCAGGCCCCCTGTTCAGCCTGGCTGGGTCAGCTTGAGGGCAGAGGAATAGAAGAATGCCCAGAAGGGTGGAGAGCAGAGGACAAACATTACCCAATTCCCAATTTGGCCTTGGGTGGACCCTGCTGGCTGTACTGAGGGAGGAAGCCTGAGCTCTGCCAAGGCACAGAATGTGCACATTATCTGGGCTGTGGAGTGAGTCATTCTCCCCAGGCTGTTTTTACTGTTAGGACTGAGTTAAGATTACCAGGGAAAACCTGTTGGGAGAAGGAAAACCTCATGCCATACTTCTTGGCCATTCTCTTTGGATTCTGAATGGTAAGTCCACAGTGCCAGCAGAAGGTATTTTGAGAGGTGAAGAGGAGAGCAAGAGAAGGAGAGTGAGGGAGAAAGAGAAGTGGGAGGGAGAAGGGGAGGGGACAGGAAGACAGAGGAGGAGGGAGAGATAGATGAGAGGGAGAGAGGGAGAAACAGAAAGAATGGATGTCCCTGGATCCCTGGATAGAAGGCATGGAAACTGGATCTTTTCTGCTTCCTAATTTCTGTTTAGGAGTTAGCATTTAGGGAGGGGTGTGTGTGTGAAGAACTCAGAGGAGGGATGAAGCCTCCTGAGTGATACACTGACCTCATTTGGAAAACTGTAATGAGCCCATTTCCTGAGCGACAAACCTCTGTGAATGTGTGTCACTGGGAGCAGGGTCTGCCCTGGGAAACAGTCCAGATGGCCAAGGACATCTGGGAAATGCCTGGCTGGGAGGGACTTCTTTAAGTGGTGGAGTTTGGCCCCTAAGAGATTTTAAGTGCACCCAAGTAGTGTTATCCAAGCAAGGCATTTGGAGGTTTGATCTCTGAGGCCTGGAATTAACAACCAGCAGACAGTGGGTTGGGCTTGGGCCCTTGTGTAGGCTGAGGAGAAGGGAGGCCCTGTGCCTGGGTTTCCATCCTGAGGCCTGACTCGGCTGCCTGTGACTCATGATCCTCACTCTTCCTCCACACCCCAGCCGGGGATCATGGTGTTGGTTCAGGAGCTGAATCTCCTGCGATTCTTTTTTTTTTTTTCTTTTTTAATGTTTTATTTATTACTAGGAGAGAGAGAGAGACAGCGTGAACAGGGGAGGGTCAGAGAGAGAGGGAGTCACAGACTCCGAAACAGGCTCCAGGCTCTGAGCTGGCAGTCAGCACAGAGCCCGACGCGGGGCTCGAACCCATGAACCGCGAGATCATGACCTAAGCAAAAATTGGATGCTTAACCGACTAAGCCATCCAGGCGCCCCTGAATCTCCTGTGATTCTTGAGTTGAGCCTCAAATGCATCCTCTGGAATTAGCTAGTTTTTAATGAGGATGGAGATGTGGGCCAGATGGGGCCTCCTGTTTGTGTTGGGCAGATTGGGACTGGGAGTGCTTGCTTGCTCCTCCCCACCTCTGTCAGGTGTATGGCCTACTCTTCAGGCTGCCTCCCTATCCCTGTCATACTGCAGTTCAAAAATTGGTGCCAGCAGATATCACCACTGACTTTCTCTTTCTTCCTCATGAAATGCCTCTTGGTCCTGTCCTTACCCAGCTGCCAGCAGGCCTGGGGATGGTGGTGAGGGAGAGGGCAGAGCTGAGGAAAGTAAGAAGTAGATGAGAAGCCCAGGTGTCAGGGTCAGTTAAGAAACTCCGGAGGAGCTGCTCAGGGGAGACACAGAACCTATGGTCTCATAGAGGTGCAGGCATATCCTGGGATCCTCTTATGGGGATTTTGAGCACCATGGATCTCTCTTGAAAACCTCTGCTCGCTTTCTGAAAGCTAAGTAGCTGGCAAGTGCCTGGAGCCTGGCTCTAGCTCTGGGCCGAGGGCCCCTATGATGGGATTCCTTATTGAGAGGTCCTAAACTGGCAGTTCTAGGAGTGGATCTCGTTTACAGTTGTGCCTTATTTGGTCTGCTTAGTGCTTACAAATGTAAACATTTATTGGAAACATAAGAAATCAAGATATTTGATATTAAGGAAATCTGGATTTATGGTTTCTCTTAAGATGTCAAAGTGTGGCATCCTGGGCTCACATTCTCACATGGAGGTGATCAGCTGCTTTCTTGACATAGTGCATGGTTCTCTGATTCGCCAAAGCCCTCACCCAGCCCACTTACATGCTTAGTCCCTATAAACATTCATAATCCCTGACAAAGTCTCTTGAATGTCAGGGCTAGAGGGGGCTTTAAGTGATTATATTGTTCCAGCTTCTCAGTTTCTAGTTGAAGAAATGGAAGCCCAGGGTCATGTGGCCTGGACTAGCACCAAGGTATCCTGCTCCAAGGTCAGAGGGCCTTCTTTCCATTTGGGCCTTTGGGTACTCCACAACTGGGCCACTGTGGGTGGGGAGGGCCAGGAGATGCTGCCTTGCCTTAAATCCTACTCTTTGCCAATGACAGATGAGTGTTGACATAGATCTGGGGGATGAAAGCGCTGGAGTATACCATGAGTCTGATACCACCTTCTAGCAATTCCTCAAGACTCCACAGATACTCTACAGGGAGGGAAGCAGATCCCTGGTCACTCAGAGACTGTGTTCTAAGGCTCAGGATTTTTGGGGTTGGAAAGGGTGCTGAGCTCTCCTACTCTGGCTACTTGAGAACTCACGGATCAAAGCCAAGAGGGGATGAGGCCATACTATGCAAGGTAGCACCCTAAAATTTTAATAGAATAATCAACTAGAAGTTTCATTACTCTTCAGTAAAGTCCCAGACAAGTGATCCTGATCAGCAGCTAGATCTCCTGCAGGCTGATTCAGGGGCCCAGGCTCTTTCCAGTTTGTGGTTCCATCATCTTCAACATATGGCCTTCTTGGTTTCTGTGGCAGAGGAAAGGTAACAGAAGAGTGGCTGGTCTTTGTGAGCTAAGCCTATACATGAATTCATCAGTTCCACTATATTTCATTCAGTCATATGGCCACACCTAATTGCAAGGCGGGGTGGGGATTAATCTAACTGTATGCCTAGCAGGAAGAAGAAGTGGTCACTGGAGACAATCATTAGAAACACATACCTTCATGGTAGCATACAGTGCATGTATGCCCTCGGACATAGACAAAGAGGCTGTCAGAGGGGAAGAGGCTCAATCCATAACAGAATGGCTGAATCACTGTTTTTTCCCCATTTTCACCATCGCTTTTCTTGGTGTAGACCTGCTTTTATGTTCCCCTGGACACTATAAACATAGTTCATTCCTTCAACTGGCCTTTTACCCCAGTCATGCCCAATTCCCAAGCATCCCTCACAGAGCTGCCTGAATGATCCCTCTGCGGCTAGAAGAATCCATCCTCAACATCCACTGGCTCATGTCAGTTGGTTTTAGAAGGGTAGAGGAAGGCCACAGCCCCTTCCTTTTCTTTGGAAAATATAAAAGTATGAGATCCTAACCAGATAGAGCAGACACAGTAACAAATAACATACTTACATCATTAAAGCCTTCTTTATTTTTCAGAGTTATCATATGATCCTAGTGAATGTCAAGGGGATTTTCTCAATTAAAACCTTGATTAGAAGAATCAAGGACTGTAAAGACAAGAGGAACATCTATACATTCTTCAGTGGAGCCCCGGCATTCTGGGATCACATCTCTTACACAGAGCAAGTTTTGCCTGGATTTAGGAAGGTCCCCTGAGTGTTCTCTGATTCTCAGAGACTTTTCAGAAACTTGATCTACCTACCAGTTATCTCTCCTACCTTTCTCTCATTACTTATTCTTTCCCCAAGCTTTTAAGCAAGTTTGTCTTCTGTCCTATACCGTCCCCTCTAGTAGAGGCCCCCTCCAGCTCTTTGTGATCACACCGTCCTCTATACACACCATTCCCCCCTGTTCTTGCCTAATCCACAAACCAACTCCCGTCTTGCTGAAATCTGCCTGCAGTCAACTGGAGTATCTTGTGTTCTCTGCCATCTTTGTTCCTTTGCACAAGCATCCTCCCTCTGCCTGGGTTGCCTTTATATCCCTCTCCCCGCCCACTGCCTGCTCCCTACCACTGGCAACTCCTGGCCTTCTTTATGACTCAATACAGACCTCAGGAAGTCTTTTCTGAGTAAGCGTTTCTGGGTAAGATGTTACTTCTCTGAAGCATTTATCACAGGCGAATTTATTATATATTTACTTGTCTTCCTCCCTGGAGCTCACAGACTGTCTTTGCTCAGCATCCCCAGAGCTTGGCAGTAGTAGGGACTCAATAAATGAAAGCTGAATGACTGAATAGATTCACCTTAATTACACAGGATGAACTGGCTGTGTGTTCACTCTGCCCTTGGGGCTTGGTCTCCGCATGGTTCCAGTGTTTGGCATATTTTACCCAGTGGGATGATTGTTTCAAATGTGGGTGACTAAGGCTGGAAGTGGAAGAAAGAGGCCCTGTTCTTCTATTAATTGAGCCCAGTCCCCTCAAATGCTAGAGTCTGTTTCACTGTCAAGTCTGCAGGTGTGGGCAAGGAACAGAGTTGCCCCACTTCTTCCTACCAGAGCAAGGTGTTTCTTTAATTTCTGTGTTCAGCCTACCTTATCCATGATTTTCTCTGGGCATTTGGGGGTCCTTTCTTTCCCGTGGTGAGATGTGCTAGATGGGAAAAATATCCCAGGTGCTCTCTGACCCAGGCCGTAACTTGACCTCAGCCTGAATCTCCCTCCCAGTTGGGGGGCTATCAGGTCCTCTTCTGTCCTACTCCCCTTCCCAACCCTGCTGTAAGCCTCACATCTGGGGCCTGAGACCTCAGTATTGTTCAGAGTTGGGCTCCCCAAGCATGAGGCCTGATGAGTTGTGAATATTTGCTACTTGGTGAGTGAACAAACGTGTGAAAGGCTCTGTGTGTGTGTGGGGGGGCGGAGGCGGAGGAGGGAGAGTGAGGAGGAGGAAGAAGTGAGAAGGAGGGAAACAGAGGGGGTGAGAAGGGAGGGGAGGAAAAGGGAGGGAGAGGGAGAGAGAGGAGGAAGGGGAAGGGAAATAGAGGGAGAGGGAGAAGGGAGGAGGAGGGAGGGAGAGGGGGAAAGAGAGAGAAGGATCTGGGCCAGCTACCAGGAATCCTTTTCCTCATGTTAACATTTGCTTCTGGCTCTGTTAATGGTTCCAGAACCATCATCCCCTTTTGGCTCAGCTTTTGTCCTACTTCAGGGTTTTTCTAGATCTTTCTGGGATAGCTTGAGGTGTCTTCTCCTGTAACTCCACACTTATTCTTCCCCATGACTTCCCTGGAGCACTTGTAGGGGGGCTAACGTTCAGGTTTCCTGGGAACTTTGTTGGTTTAGTGTTGTGAGAACCACATCCTGAAAACTCCGTCAGTTTTGGAGAGACCTAGATGGATGGTCACCCTGAGTGTAAGTCTCTTGTATGCCCCCTCAGGTCCATAATCTGCAGGAGCTGCGGCGAAGTGCCTCACTGGCCACCAAGGTCTTTATCCAGAGAGACTACAGCGATGGGACAATCTGTCAGTTCCAGACCAAATTCCCCCCAGAGCTGGACAGCCGGGTAAAGATGTCTTTTTTCTAAACTTGGAACATAGGCCATGATGGAACTCAGGGAATTATTCCAATGTATTTTTCCCCCCCAGGATAAAAGTAATATGTGACATATAACTTGTTCAGTCACTTCACGTGGAAGAATTAAAAAATGCCCCTACCATTGTCTTGCTGTTGCCTCATTGAAAGTTTGAGCTGAAAAGGCCTCAGAGATTTCCTGGTTCAGAGGCCCTTGAATGTCAGCAGCACAAGAGTCACCTGGAGAGCTTATGAAAGAAAGCAGACCCCTTAGTCCGGTTGATGGTGTCAGTTTCAGGAATCTCTTCTTGGTAGCCGTTCTCAGCCCCAGCTGCACATTATAATTTCCTGGGCAACTTTAAAAAATCCTGATGCCCAGGTCATCGACCAAGGGCTCTGCACACAGCCCCTCCCTCCAGACTCAGCTGCCTGGTGTCTCATGGACCACCAGCCCCTCGCAAGGCAGCTCCTTCTGCCCAGTTTTGCTCCTGGTTCAGGGGTGTGTATGGCCCTCACCCTGGGCTGCTGTAGAACTAGCCTGGAGCTAGAGAGTCTGCCCTTTAGAGAGTGGTGGGCAGACCCCAACTCTTTCATTCAGCAGCCCAGGCCTATCTCAGTGGGTTTGGGAAGGTGGGACAGGGCTGCCTTTTGCTAATCTGATCCCTAACCAGCTTTTAGGGTGCCATGGGGTCTCCTCGATTCATCAAAGGACACACCTGTCCTTTGGGACAGGGTGACGCTTGGGGTGGAGCATAATGTTTTCTTATGCATCCACTCCAGATCTGTGTAAGGACAGTGGCTGGGAACTCCAAAGCTTCTGACTGTTCTAAGGGAGACCTTTTGTCCTAGATGGGCATGGAAGATCCCTAACCTGTGTGATGGACAGTTCTGGTCCTGTAGTGCTGAGTAGGGAAGCAGGTGTTCTGAGGAATGTCAAACATGGGCCTATAGACACTTTGATACCTGCTGAATTTGGAGCATGACCTCCCAATCTAGTGTAGGGTTATTGAAGAGTGCAGACTCAGGTGAGAGCTGTGTAACCTTGGACAAGTTCACTTAGCATGCAGCAAGTATTTTCTGAGCAACTACTCCGTGTCAGGCACTGGGGACAAAGAAGTGAAGTCATGGAATTCATTTTCATTTGGGGGGCATGAAGAATAAAATAGCAAGTAAATATGTAGAGCAGCTCCAGGGGGCCTCAATACTAGAAAAATAAGTGTGGGGGGGGTGCTCACAGGGCTGGAGGAGCAGGGAGAGGTGAATGGTGGGGGGGTGTCTGTGAGATAAGGTGAGCCCTTAGGCCTGTAGGGATGAGCCTGGGGTGGGGGTGTCTGAGGGAGGAGTGTTACATCCGAGGACACAGGCACAAAGACTTGTGCATTTTCAGGAAGCAGCAGGGCGGTCAGTGTGGCTGCTTGGGGACTGAGTGGGCAGGAGAGCAGGAAGCGGGCTCAGGGGATGCAGGCCCAGGCCCTGTAGGGCCTAGCAGACATTGTAAGAACTTCTTGGATTTTACTTGGAGAGAGATGAGAAGGCTTTGGAAGGCTTTCATCAGAGCTGTGACATGATCTGACTTTAGCAGTCTCCCTTGGCAGGGCTGGGGGAACAGAGACCAGTTGAGAGGGCAGAGATGATGGTGGCCTGGACCACAGAGCTGAGCTTTGAGCTACTAAAAGTGAAAAAATGTAGAAAAGTGCGTTATTTATTCATTTTTGATTAATTTAAAAAAATATTAGACTCTGCAAGGCTTTTTTTCAGATGAAGCAATTCCATAATTAAAATTTTTTAAATGTTTATTTTTTGAGACAGACAGAGAGAGAGAGAGAGAGAGCACGAGTGGGGGAGGGGCATAGAGAGAGAAGGAGACACAGAATCTGAAGCAGGCTCCAGGCTCTGAGCTGTCAGCACAGAGTCGGACACGGGGCTCGAACTGACAAACTGGGAGATCATGACCTGAGCCGAAGTCAGATGCTTAACCGACTGAGCTACTCAGGTGCCCCGCAATCACATAACTTAATCTTTGCCAGATAAATTGATAAAAATCTTATTATTTGTTTTTAAATTGAAGTATAGTTGACACACAATGTTACCTTGGTACCTGAAAGTGCTTTTAAAAATAGAAAGCATACAAAATGCGTCATAAATATTAGCTATTATGCTTATGGATGCAGGCAGGACAGCTTCCCAATTGTGCACACCCATGAGGCTGTTGTGTTCTTGGTGACCTCTTTGTCTGAGAGAAGATACTCCTGTGATCTCATGTAATAAGTCTCATGCAGTTGGAGTCCCATCCAAATGTGGGGAGCCCCTACCAGTTAGGTCCTGGGTGCTTTTGCAGCTATTGAATGGGGGGTGACGAAGTCACCAGAATTCCTGCCTGATCCTCTGCTTTCAGAAAATCTTCACATTTGTGATATTGTGGGAGTTTCCTGCTTCCATGGGAGGCCAAAGTAGTCACTCTTAGTCCCATTTTATAGATGTGGAAACTGAGGCTAGAGTAGTTAAGTCATTAGCTGAAGGCCACATAGCTGGTCGATGGTCAAGTCTGGACAGGATCCCAGGTCTCCTGACTCCCAGTCCAGTGTTTCATGGGCATCTGCAGCTTCTCTGGTCTTACCTGTGTGTCACTCCCCCCATCAGTGTGGTCTCACCACTGCTGCCCGCCCTTCTACCTGTGACTGTCCAGTCCAGGGAGGCCAACCTCAACCTGGTTCCCTGTCTCTTTCTCCCTCCAGATTGAGCGGCAGCTCTTTGAGGAGACCGTGAAGACGCTCAACAGCTTCTACGCAGAGGCCGAGAAGATCGGGGGCAGCTCCTACCTTGAAGGCTGCCTGGCCTGTGCCACGGCTTACTTCATCTTCCTCTGCATGGAGACCCACTACGAGAAGGTGGCTCCCCCCCAACCGCCCTGCACCCCGTCCGCCAGGGCTCCCCTGCTGCACCCTTATCCTCACCTGGCTCCTCTCCTTGCAGGTTCTCAAGAAGATCTCCCGCTACATCCAGGAGCAGAACGAGAAGATCTTTGCTCCTCGAGGTCTCCTGCTCACTGACCCCGTGGAGCGCGGGATGAGGGTTGTATCCTTCCTGGCTGTTCTTTTTTTTTTTTTTTTTTTAATTTTTTTTTAATGTTTTATTTATTTCTAGGAGAGAGAGAGAGAGACAGCATGAGCAGGGGAGGGCCAGAGAGAGAGGGAGTCACAGACT